CCCCAGTCCATGGAGGGATCGCCCATATCCCACCTCATCCTCGGTGGCCAACGGCACCTTCACTGGCAATGGGGACACATCCCTGGGGTCCCAGGCACCGGCAAAGAGGTTCCGGATGTAGTTTTGGAGGTACCTAAGGAAGGGTGGGGGGATTTTGGGGTGCTGGGACCCATTTGGAGGTGCTGGGACCCATTTGGGGGTGCTGCTCACCATTGAACCACCTTTCCCCGCAGCCCCCGGGCACTCTTGGTGCCACCGATCTCCTTCTCCACCACATGGAAGGGGTAGAGGACATCAATGGGGAGCTCCACGAAGACAGGTCCTATGGGATTGGGGTGCAAGGGGGAGGACCCCAATGTCACCCCCAAACCACTTCTGGGGCTTAAAACCCCCTAATTCCAACAACGTTACCCCAAAAACCCCATCGGGTGACCCATATGGGGGATGAAACCCACCACCAAGTGTCCTGGGGCTGGTTTTGGGGTGCCACCACCCCAATTCCTTACCAGGGGTCCCCGACTGCGCGGTGGCGATGGCTTTGCGGAGCGTGGGGACAATGTCCCGCACGGTTCGCACGGAGGTGGTCACTTTGCAGAGGGTCCTGAAGAGCGAGAGCTGGTCAATGTCCTGCAGAGCTCCTCGACCCTGTGGAGATGAGGACTACGAGGTTTGAACCCCCCAAAAATGAGTGAAGAACCCCCAAATTGGGTGAAGAACCCCCCAAAGTGGATGAAGAATCCCCCAAAATGGGTAAAGCACCTCCCAAGAATGGGTGAACACCCAAAAATGGGTGAAGAATCCATAAAACAGGTGAAGAACCCCCAAGAATGGGTGAAGAACCTACAAAAAATGGGTGAAGAACCCCCCAAAGTGGAGGAAGAATCCCCCAAAATGGGTGAAAAAAAAAACCAAAATGGGTGAACACCCCAAAACGGGTGAAGAACCCCCCAAATAGGTGAAGAACCCCCCAAAATAGGTGAAGAAACCCCCAAAATGGATGAAGAAACCCCCCAAAATGGATGAAGAAGCCCCAAAATGGGTGAAGAACCCCCAAAGCAGATGAAGAACCCCCCAAAATGGATTGGTTTTGGGGTCCCACCTTCTGCAGGGAGGCGGCTGCACCCCCGATGAGCAGCAACGGGGACTCGGCCATCTGGGCGTTCTTGACGGCCGTCACCGTGTTGGTGACACCAGGACCCGCGGTGACAACGGCGACACCGATGCGACCTGTGGGGAGGCCAATGGGGACCATCTGAAGGCCAAGTTATGGTCAAGGGGTTCAGGGCATGTTTGGTTGCTCATGAAGATGGGAGCCAAGTGGATGGATTAGGTCCTGGAGGGCAAAAATAGGGACAAAAGGCACCATGGAAGGACCTTGGACACCCATAAAGTCCTTGACGTGGCTCCATTGGGACCCCACCGAGCTGCAACACCCCAATATCCTCCATTCATTGGGGCAGAAGAAGGTGCTGGCCATGGATGGGGTCATCTTCTCCTCATCCCATCCTCATCAGAGCTGCCAAGTTATCTCCAGAGGGAATAAATGGGGTCAAAGCCATCCATGGAAGGACCTTGGACACCCAGAGTCATTAAACCCTCTTGGCTTAACTGGGACACCTCAAACCCCTCCATCCATTGGGGCAGGAGAAGGTGCTCACCATGGATGGGGTCACCCCAAACCCCTCCATCCATTGGGGCAGGAGAAGGGG